GGTTCAATCAATTGATGAAAGTCCTTCGATCGCTCGATCGCGTCTTCGTGCCCTATGGGTATGCCGATCACTACATTTGTTGATCTTCAGGTATATTGGTGGATCGATTCGTGTGGGTCAGCCAAACTTCGATTGCCTGGGTCTCCGTTCTTGATCTTTCGATTCTTTTGAGATTCGCGCCGTAATTTTTGCCCTATAAACATGTATATTTACCTATATACCACTCCATTCTTTAACATCAAATAAAAATTATCACAATCACTATATTTTTAGAAGTGAGACATATCTTTTCTTGTATAGATTTATGAGACACCGAGATTTTATAAGTTCGACTATTAAATTTTGGGCGCTCGATATATAAATACGTAAAAATTATGTGGTGTGTACGTAATTTTCCTTGTATTTTATCGAAAAATATTAGTAAATATGTGTAAAAACGTGCAATCTTGTTCAGCTTATTTGGCTAATTGATTACCCATAATATGAACATATAGCAGATCCGTGAGTAGGGCTTTTATTCGTGAACAGCTCGTGTTCCGCTCGTTAAGTAGCTCGTGTCCGACTTGTTCTTTATGTAAACAACCCGAACGATCAATTCTTTGTTCGCGTGTTTGGTTCTTTATAGCTCGAAATAAAAAAAAAATCATATAATTATTTATATAATGATATATTATTATTATTTATATCTAAGTTTAAATCATAACAGCTCGTGTGGTACTGTGGATCATCTTCACCAATTTATAAGTGAGTCGAGCCAACTCATGAACCAGTTCAAGCTCGGCTCGATAATTGGCTCGTGAACTGAGCTCGATGAGCTAACAATCTAAAAGCTCAAACTAGCCCCAATTTGACTCGTTAACTCGTGAGCTGGCTCGTTTAAAAAAAAAAAAACTTAATATACAATACAGTCAAACATATAATAAATTTGAAATCTTTATCTTTAAAATAGATACAAAGTCCAAACAAAAGGTGTCAAAAAATTGTTAGAAATGTACAATGCAGCCCCTAAACCCTACCAAAATTTACAAAATGAAATCAAACCAAGCAACCAGTAAATAAATTTTTAATTTTTAGGCTCCATAGATGAATTAGATCTGAATGAAACATCAGACCAGTTGCTGTCTGCTTCATCTTCTTCCCTAAACTTCCTATGAACCTTTCTCTTCAGCGCAACCTTCAACTTATGCGCAGACTTCCCCGCATGCTTCATTATATTTACAGCTCTCTCCCTAACACGACCACCTTTCATGGGTCTCTCCAGTTCTCCAGAGGAGAACTCATTATTTTTGGGACCCTTAGGTTTAATCACTATGCCATGTTTGTGAAAGTCGCCATGGATCTTTCCGTGAGTTTCGACGATGATTTTGGCCTCATTGTGAGATGATTCCAATGATTTGGGGGGGCTTCCACTCTCCCATGATATGGGAGCATCGTAGCCGGGATGATGGAGCCAATATTCGATGTTTTTGGGCTCGAAGTTATCTACAAGGATCTTTTTGCCGACCTCATGGGATGAATCTTGAGCCATTGGGTTCGACCCGGCGCTCGTTGTCTCGGACACAACTGAGGAAGAGTCGTCGTCACCGATATCATCATTTTCGTCGTCACTTTGGTTGGCTGAATTCTGCATGGAGGAGAGATAAATGTCGTATTTCATGCATATAACTTGAATCTTGACTGTTTGCATTATCAACATATCATCATGCCTCCAATATTTTTTGAAGGAGAAATTACATTACATATCACATAATTCCTCAAGTATTTACATATCTAACTTTTAAACTTTGATTTTTTATATTTATATCAGTTTGCCTATACATGACAAGGTGTATTTCATTTTTTTGAAAGATAGTAATAGAGTTATGGATGTAGAACTCAATGTTTGGATGTTAGATGTGTAAATACAAAGAAATTATGTGGTATGTATTCAAATGCAACTTTTTAAAATCCTTGCCCAAATGATGAAATCATCTTTTGTTTGGTTTGGTGGGGGGCTTTTACATGCACACCATTCAATTCTTATGTACAAACATATCTAACACTTAAACTTTACTTCTTTACATTTATACCCAAATCTTTTATATCACGTCAAAAATACCACTATTTTAACTTTTAAAAAACAGAAACATATTTTCATGCACAGGCAAGGTGGTATGTATCATGTAAACATTAAAGTTTAGGTGTTACATATATATATAAATACATAAGAATTTCGTGGTATGTAGGGCTGTCAAAATGGCTAATTGTTCTCGAACAGCTCGTGCTCGGCTCGTTCGCTAAGTTAACGAGCCGAACATGAACAACACGAACAAAGATTTGTTCGTTCGTGTTTGGCTCGTTTTGGCTCGATATACTATTAATCAATTATATATATCTTTGATGAGTAGTATTTTTAAAAAATTTAATTGACTACAAGGCTATAAAGATTTATAATCAATTATAAGCATTAATTAAGAAAATAGAATAAAAAATATTAAATTAGATTCCAATGATGTTTTAATATAAACAATAATTTTTAAATCTTACCCCAATCTTTAACATCTTATGGCTACCTGATTAGGGTCGTCAAAACCACTATTTGTTCGTGAACGACTCGTCAAAGCTCGCTAAGCAAACGAGCCGAACACGAACACACTTTTTGATGGTGAAATATAAATGAGTCGAGCATGAGTTGAGCCTGGGCTCGCTAGACCCCTATTTGTTCTGAATGGAAGAGATTTTATAATTGGGCTGAATAGGGCCGAACTGGCCCATATTAGAATCACGTTCTCAAACAACCAAATGGAAAAATAAATAAATAAAAAATAAAATAAAACAACATACTCTGTTTTGTTTATTAATTTAACATAAATTCAAAGAATAAGATGAAGTGAAATCCATAAATATAAAAATAAAATATTTGATTATTTGACTTTTTTTTATATAAATAAAATATTATTTAAAAATATTAAACCGTGCTGCCACGTGGCACGTTATACTTGTGCATCAGCATCACTTTTTTTCTTTTTTTTTTTTTTTGCAAGAGTTAATTAAATAAGGAAAAATATGTAAATCAAATGTCGAAAAATTAATACGTAATATTTTTTCTATCTTTAAATAATTAAAAACTTTACAAACATAATTTCCATATAAAGCTAATAATGACAAAAAGTTTATTTAAAAAAAGTGAAATATTATATATTGTTAACAGATATAAAAAGTTTAAACGCCTTGATTTTTAAATTAATTTAACGAAATTAAAATTAAGTTAATCAATTTCTCTATACTGTAAAATATATGTATTGTTCTAAGTAGGTCTTCGTTGTTTGCAAACAGCTCATGTTCGACTTTTAAGTTGCTCGTGTTTGACTCTTTCGCCACGTAAATGAGCCAAACACAAAGAATTTTTTTTTTTGAGCTTCGTATAAAAACGAGCCAAATAGAACCAAAATTTTGCCCAATCATGTTCGGTTTGTTTTGGCTTGAAATATATATATATATAGATAATGAGTATTATTTTAAAATAATTTAATTGAGCCCAGACTTGATTTGGCGGAGTCTGACTCGTTCAAGCTCGGCTCGTTTACACCCCTAAGGACTACATACATGATTGGGGTTGTCATAATGGTTTTTTGTTCGTGAATAACTCGTGTTCGGCTCACTAAGCAAATGAGTCAAATACGAACAATGATATTTTTGAACAAGCCGAGCAGGAGCTGAGCCAAGGGCCTTAGCTCATTTGCACCCCAACTTCTAAGTTATAAATATATTTAATGACTTAATTTGAATGATATATAAATTTCATTTATGAAGAATTGAATCGACCTCCCTTAATTTTTTTTACACAATAACTAATATTTTATGGCGTGCAAGTTTTACACATAAATGATAATCTATTATTTATCTATAACAATTCATTAATGTTTTTTGGATAGATCCTAAAAATGAGCTAATCTCTCTTGCCATATAAAAATGAAAGTGGCCATTTATATACATACCACATAATTCATATATATTTAAATATTTAACACCTAAATTTAGATGCAAATATTGAATTTATGATTTAAATATTTTAAAAATAAAATTAGTGGAGTCCTTGTCAAAAGTCGTCCCTAGTTGTAATTTTCTTGACGTCCTTGCTGACACGATTTTGAGGGCAAGGCTGTAATTAATTTAATGGACTCCATGCGAGCTGCGTGCCATGCACGTCATTTTCATAAATTTTGTAAAGCAAAGTTTAGCCGTTAGAAATATAGAATAGTATATATAATGTCATAAATAAATATAAAAAAAAGTGTTTTTCAAATTTAAAAAAACAAAATTTTAAATGCATTACAAAACAATTCTTATGTTTCTATAAGAGTACCTAAAGTTTGATATATATGATTAAAATGTTTTGGTGTCGTAAACACGTGCATTAAAAAGTGTATTTTACTTCTTAAGAAAGTAGTAATAACAACATGTTCGTGTTCTAGCATAGATTTGAGATTTATACAAGTAAATATGAAACTAAAGATGTTGTACGTGTAAATAGATAAAAATTGTGTGGAATGAATGTAAATGCCCCAAAAGATTTTATATATGTATATATATCTGTGTGTGTGTGTGTGTGTCTTGTGCTCAGATTAGTTGGTCGGGCATCTGCTTGTTAGTTGTAAGTCCACTCTAGTCAACGGTTCGATTCCCCCTGGTGTGTGTGTGTGTGTGTGTGTGTAGTGTGTGTGTGTGTGTGTGTGTTAGTTATGTATATGTGTGTGTGTGTTAGTTATGTATATAAATACACAAAAAGTTGTGTGATATGTATGTAAATGGCCCTTCATTAATAATAATTTAATGACGGGGCATTTACAAACATATCAAAAAAGTTTTATGTATTGATATAAATATCTAACATTGAAACATATATATTTACATGCACCCTAAATGTAAATATTTATATAAATGTGTGTAACCTAAGGTTTATAAACTAAGAAAAAAAACAAAGAAAAAGAGATTCCAATAACCAAATAGCCCATGCCAAACTATCATAAAACCCCCCATTAATTACAACTGTTACATAATACAAAACAACATACCAAAACACAATCAAGCATTCCAAATAAGCTCCTATTCTTCCCCATTTTCAAAAACAAAAGAGACAACACATTCCCACAACAAAAAGAAAAAAAATATGAATGAAAAACCCTAAAATGATCACCAACCCTCCAAATGACTAACCAAACACCATCACCCCCATCAACAGACCTAAAACGCCATAACAAATTCTCGAAACAGACGCTCCAATCGCCGACGAAGGCGTAGCTGGCGGAGTCGTAGGAGACACCGAATTCGCCGCCGGAGCCGGAGAAGCTGTGGGTGGAACCCTAATCGCCATTACAACAACATCAAGCTTCTGTCCCTGCGTGCAGTGATCACCCTCCCCACTAATAAAGTAAAATGGCCCGGATCGATCCAGCATGAAAACAGTATCACCATTATCAAACTTCTTAATAGGATTGCTACTGTTGCAGGAATCGTAATCCTTCTTCTTCACTTGAAGAACAGAGTCCCCTCCTTTCTTATACCAAAAAACTACAGAAACAGAGGATTATGAACACATAATCTTTGTGATTAAGAGGGTTTAGAACAGAATTAATCATTACCAAGCTTATCGTTTACTTGAAATCTCATTTTTGCAGCCCAAATATTGTAGCTTTCGTCTGGTTTAACCACCCATCCCTGTTTTCCGCCGACGTAGAAATCATAGGCGAAGGACATGGAGAACAAGCTCAGCAGAACTCCGGCGAGGAGAAGAAGACGATCCATAGCTAAGGAAGAAGAAGAAATATAAGAAATTATACAGATTGGTAGCTTATAGCTTTCTGTTATGTCTCAGAGATAGGATAGGAGGAAGATGATTTTGGTGAGGGATTGTTTCTTCGTATTTATAGGTGGTACGCGAGGTTACCGTTGGACGGTGTGGTGAACCGCGGAGTACTGTGTTCGCCGTGCTGCCCGCGGTGTATTAAGTGATTTCCGTTACGTTGTGGCGTTGTTTGGGGTCACGTTTGAGTTCCAACGGTAGAATGTTAGAGCAAAAGTTAAGAATAAGTGATGGATGAGATATTATAATATAAATATTTAATTAAATAATTATTGGATGGGTGTAATTTGAAATATATTATTGTGAAAAAAAATAATTGGATCATGACATCCTACCTTAATGTTCATGAGGATAGATTTGTAAAAGATGCTTTTTATATATATTATAAAATATTTCATAGAAATTCTTTTTATTTTTTGTATTTATTTGTAAATTAAAACAAAAAAAAAATTTATAGCATTGTAATGTAAAGATATATCATGCATCAATTTTTATTTTTACCTAATTATTTATGTTATTTTATATTTTTCTTCCCTTCTAATTTGCATGCAACACCACAATTTTTATCCATAGTACTTAAATTGTCAATTTTTTATGCATAAAGTTATGACACCAAAGTATTATGTATAATTATAAATATGAAAAATTATGAGTTAGATTTGTAAATAGTTTAAAAATTGCGTGGTATTTATGTAAATTTTCCAAAACATAACATAATATTTTAGAAAAACGGACGTTGTCTGCTGGCTTGATTATTTTATTATTTTTTTTAATTCATCGGTTTAATTGAGAGATTTATCGCTACTTCGTGCGGTTAGGGCAAATTAATCTTTTTCTAATAAGGAAACTATCGGGCAACCCATGAATGCCCCCGCTTGTATTGTTTAATGGTTATAAATAAGGCTGCAAACTAGGCGAGCTTGAGCGAGCTCAGGTTTGGCTATTGTTCGGTTTGTTCGAAATTGTTCGTGTTCGAAATCACCTCTTGTTTGAAAACGGCTCGTGAATGGTGTGTTCGTGTTCGACTCAATTTAAATATCTGTATTCGATTCGTGTTTAACTTGATTTAAATATTTTTGTCTATATTATCACAAAAGCTGCTATGATTTAAACTTAAATATAAATTTATAAAATATATTATTATATAAATAATGTGTAATATATTTTTATATAAATAATTATATAATTTTTTTTTTTATTTCGAGCTAAGACGAGCCGAACACGAGCGAATAAAGAGTTGTTCGTGTTCGGCTTATTTATAATTCGAGCTTTAAAAACTTGTTGGTGTTCGGCTCGTTTACTTAACGAACGAGCTGAACACGAACTACTTAACGAGTCGAACACGAGTTGTTCGCGAACAACGAACCTTTTTTGACCGCCCTAGTTATAAAATGCTAAATTCATATTAAATTAGCAGCATTTCCATATATATCACCCAATTTTTATGTATTTACGTATTGATACCTAAACTTTGCTTTTTATATTTATAATACTCGAATCTTCATATTGCTTACAAAATATTACCATTTTTACTTTAAAACAATAAGTGAAGCACACTTTTTAATGCATTGGAAAGGTGTCATATATGTAAAAATTGAAGTATAGAGGCTAGATATGTAAATACATAAGAATTGAAAGGTATGTATGTAAATTTTCTATTTAAATATTATGTTTGTAAGGTAGTAATATTGCAATTTCTTAGAAGATGCATGTATCAAAAGGTTGCTTTAAAATTCGTGAATTTAAGTCGCATTTTATAATTTAATATGACAATTACACAATAGCTTATCTTAAAAATTGATTTGATATATGATAAAAGAGAACTTAATTGGATTTTAAAATTTTTAAAGCCGGCAGTTACATACAAACCACCCGAAACTTGCTATTTACAAATCTATCATTCTCTTTCATTCATTTATCGAGTTCTCACTTAAAAATCAAAATTCATGGTAAAAACTCTACCAATATTTTTCATTTTTATCAAATTCTAAGTAGTTTGATTACACGCACAAAGAGGAAAGAGGGAGGGAGGGAGGGAGGTAATTTGGTGAGAAACTTAGGTTTCGTTTGGTGCCGCATTTTTCGAGCGTTGTGGCCCCAAACCGCGAAATTTTTTTTCCCGCACTTTCTTGTAGCGGTAGAGGCCGCTTGCCGCTAATCTAGGCTGAACACGGGCCGCGAGATTGACCCCGCGGCCTGACGTTCTCGAGCATTAATACCTTCTCTGCCCCGCTCAACTTCACCTCTCTCTCTCTCTCTCTCTCTCTCGATCCTGTTCGCCTCCTCACCTCGGCACAGAGACGCCTGCTTCGCTTCACCCCCCCACTCGCCTCTCCTCGTGGGTCTAAGCACCATCACCATTAGATTCACCAAATAACAACTATCTAATTTTGATTACGAATACATGATCAGATTGCTTCTTTTATAGAAAGATTTTCTTTAATGAAATCCAGTATTACTTCTTTTGAATGTCATTATTTGATTTTTATTTCATTATTTTGAATCTTCATTATCATCAATCTCTCTCTCTCTCTCTCTCGTGTAAAAAAATTTTCAACGATAGAGTAATAGATTAATATCACAATGTCGCACGCGAACATACACATAATAATAAAAATAATATGATGAGATAATAGAAATTTCTATATGAAAAACTCATAAAGAGAAAAAAACCAATAGTCAAATAATAAAAATAATATGATGAGATAATAGAAATTTCCATATGAAAAACTCATAAAGAGAAAAAAACCAATAAGTCTTGTCTAGTCAAAAGAATTTACTATAAGTTTACAAATGCAAATATACTATTACCCTACAACCGAAAAAAGGATTACAACATTCCTACACAAAAATGTTCGTTATACAACATTTAGGAGCATTGCTATTGGGAGTTATCGGTTGAGATGTGGGCCACGTCGTCTTCGAGGTATGCACTAGAGGGTACTTATGTTAATGTGTTGCTTCATAAGGTGTTTCGTTATTCTGCAATGTACATCGTTATGATGTTTCGTTACTTCACAATGTATATGGTTCTTCCATAAAGTGTTTCAGATGCTGTTACTCTTAAGGTCCACCAATGACGATGATAAGTAGCGGGAGGCTAATAGTGGTTGATGACGGTCAATGGGCGGTAGTTCATAATGATGGGCAGTTACCAAGGCACAAAGTGATCATCAAATCTTCAATCTAGAACAGTTTTGGAAACTAGCTGCTTCTCTCCAGGTCCAAGTTTCGACCTAAGTCTCTTTTCATGAAGAGAGTAGAGTTCTATCTGGTGGTGTCATGCTTCATAAATACTGCATAAATCTAAACAATCTCATCAGAGGTTCAAGGTGACTCTCTCGATTGAATGAGTTTTATGAACATTTAAATGCCATAATGATATATAATTGAGTGATTTAACAAATCTGGATTTACATGCACTGTCAGAACGTTTGATTTAGGTTGAATTTTTTTATATTTAGCTGAATTTCATTGCTAAATTCGCCTGTTAACGAAAGCAACAAAGCTAAAAAGAGCATAAATCCTAATCATACATAAATATTCCCAAAAGAAATTCAAGTATGACGAAATGACAGAGCTCAATATGATCTGAACTCCGACGAAACAAAGCTGGTAAATCAGCCAAAAAAAAAAAATGAAAAAAAATGAAAAAATAAACAAAAAATTCGAATTTAGGAGTGGAGGAAGAGCTCAGAAAGAACGCAGCGAATATATTGAACTAATCATTTGCTGATCGGTTCATAAGACATCATATTCTTTCATCATCGTCTCCCTCCAAATCATAAATGGCAGACTACGAGAGAGGAAGATGGGGGCGGAGTGGAAGATGGGGGCGGAGGCGGAGACGAATGATTTATATAGTGGATGGAATCAACCCTAAGAGGAGCAAAGAGTTTTAAACCGTCCGATTAAAAATCCGGCGGCTAGAAAGCCTTAACGGTTAACATTAATTTGTTGCATATTTAATTTAACAATAATACTAAGAAAAAAAATAAGAAGTAAAATTTTTTTTTTAATTAATCATTTAAAATTGGGGCATTTACATACATAGCATCTTATTTTGATTTATTTACATACGTAACACCTAAATTTTAGTTTTTTTTAGGGTTATTCCACTCAATTCTTTCATATTAGATTAAAAATATCATTATTTAATTTTTTAAGAAAAGTGAAGCACAATTTATTATATGTAAAAATTAATATTAAGTATGAAATATGTATGAAGATTTTGATGAATTGTTAAAAGCTTTAGAGGGGAATGGTGGTTAAAATATCAAGATCATACCACATTACGCTGGTTTGGGCTCACTTGAAATATCTCTTCTTAGAAAGTGGCTTAAGATTAGATGAAAGATTAGAAATGATTATTAGCGGCTACTTTATGATGCATCTTATGATCTGAACTAGATTGGTAGTTTTGGATCGATTTATAATAGTTAGGGTTAGAGAACAAGACAATGTTTTGATGTGCTCTAGCTTGGCCGGGAGCTATGAATAGAGGTTTAGACTTTGATTGTTGATTATTGATATTAAGAGGTTGTTAGGATATGAATGAGGGGTGGCGAACATTTTAGAGTAAGAATTATAAAAAAGATAATAAGTTCTTCAAATTTTGACATAGTGAACGACTAGTTTATCATAAAAAATTAATGCGAAGTAAAGTAGAAAACTTAATATGTTGATCGCATCATGGCAAGATCATATCTTCTTAGGAGTGGAGCACTCCATTAACAAATGTTTCACTCCAGATAAAGTTTAGGGATGGGTTAACACATCGGAATGTAAGCCAGGATTTATACTAGAACTTGCAAGTTAGACTTCACACATTGCCTCTTCATCATACAACTAACAATGTTGTGTTTTATGGGAGATTGTCAGAAAGAAAATTAAACCTTTGTAATCCTAAGAATCAATTTCATCAAAGTGTTGTTTGTAAACATATCCATATATTCAAATCATTTTCAAACTTTTACAAGAGGAGGTTGGAGAAGACAATAAAGAGGTAGATCCAAGTTAAGACCATTTTGAGCTCAGCCATTAACATGCCGTAATTCATAATTCCATCAAATTGACAGAAATAGATCAAAGCAGCCATGAAATCAACATTATTAATCAAATGTCACCAAAAAATAAAAATAAAAATAAATCTAAATATAAACCAAGATAAATCCAGAATGAAATAAAAAGACTAACAACAAAGTACAAGCTTTCAGCACAGAAGAGACCAATAATCATTAACATGCCCAAGCACAGCAATAATCAGAAGTCCAAACTGCAACTGCAATGGTTCATACATCATCAGAGCTCTAAACCCCCAAAACCTAAAACTAAACTAAACTTCCATCATGCCCTCGCCCTCTTGTTGCTACAAGCAGGGCACTTGTACTGCTTGATGTGCTCTGCTCTCGCCGGCGTGATCCTCACACATTTCCCGTGAAACCATCTCTCGCAGACATCGCAGCATATCCAGAACTCGTCGTTCGCATAGTTGTCGCCGCAGGCGCCACACAAAGTATTCCCATGTTCGTCATCCTCTTCTTCTTCTTCTTCTTCGCTCTCGTCGTCGTCTTTTGGGAGATCCACCTTCATGGCCTTTGTCTGAGAGGTGGGCTGTTCAGAAAAGGTTTAAATATCAAAACAACAATAATAATAATAATAATAATAATAATAATAATAATAATAATAATAATAATAATAATAATAATAATAATAATAATAATAATAATAATAATAATAATAATAATAATAATAATAATAATAATAATAATAATAATAATAATGCGTGGGTATTTAGACATATAGCACAAAATTGTATGTAACTATATATCTCATATCTTAATATCACATCAGAAATATCACTATTATCACTTTTTAAAAGTTAAATACAGATTTGCATGCATAGGTTTAAAGCACCAAATTATTCTGAATGTAGGTGTGGGATACTTAAATACATAAGCATTGCGTGCTACATATGACAAATTCCCTAATAATAATAATAATAAGGGGGATTAACATACATACCACTCAATTCTTGTGCATTTACATATCCAACACCTAAACTCTAGTTATAACATTCATATCACATCAAAAATACCACTAATTTAACATTTAAAAGGTGAAATGCATCATTCCATGCATAGATAAGATTGGCATATACGTAAAAATAGAAGTTTAGGTGGTATGTATGTAAATCTTCCTAATAATAATAAATAACTTGATTAGTAGTATAACAGATTTCAGGAGTGTTTAAATTACCTTTGAGTTAGATTTGTTGCTCTTGCTGTTGCCATTAGGAGTTTTTTCTTTAGACTGTTTTTTAACAGTTCCTGTAACAACTTCAAATATGGTGGGAAGGCTGTTAATCATGTTAAACAGCCTCTTCCTGTAAATAAAGAGAAGAGGTAAATCATGTTTTGCCCCATTTCTTATTCATAGTTGGAAATATATTAATGTTCTGAAGCCCAGACTATAACAAGATAAATATCAATTTAGACATAATCATAAAGTGGTCTATTTTAAAAAAAAAATAATAAGTTGATATAATTTATTAGGGGTAAATACTCAAAAGCAGTGCTGTGCAAAAGGATTTTTTTAATATAAGAAAAAAAAAAGACATAAACATAATACAGAAAGATTAGTTCTGTGTAAATAGATCCCTTAGCAAATCAGCGGATCAAGCATTTGAATCCTTGAAGAATCAATTTAATACTCTAACACCTATTCTTTCCGTTTCACAACTCAAGTTATCATGGTTATAGTTTTTTTTGCTAGTCACCTAGTTGGATTGTTATTGATGACATGAATAAAAACAAGTAACATTTACACACATACCACTCAATACCTTTGTATTTACATATCTAACACCTAAACTTCAATTTTTACACACACGGCCAGCCACCTTTGTAGCTCCTGTATAGTGTGGATCCGCACATCCCTCTTCGACCTCATTGAAGAATTGAATAGCCAAAGGATAGGTGGGGCGGACACTGACTAGGAAAGTCCACTGGCCCAGGGCATGGAGCAAACTACTATTGGACAACCAGCAGAAAGAAGTTAGCTGCTAGCGTACTTCGGTCACTCATGGTAACGTAGCCCCCTCTCGTACGCATCCCTCAGATGGACTTCTTTTTCCCACCTTACCGATGCATGACACAGTTCATTTCAATTTGTAAATGTTAAAACGGTGGTATTTTTGTGATATGAAAGATTTGGGTGGTATAAATAGAAAAAGCAAAATTGAACGGTACATGAATGGGTTTATGAAGACTATATAGATCACTCAGGACCAAATGATATCGATGACAATACAGATTGAGTGGAAAAGGAAACATAACTTTTGTATAGAGGTGGGAGGGTTGGCAATAAGCATGAGTTGCACTTAATAGAATAATGAGTTGATATTACCATAGATAGAAATTTTATAATTATATTTTCTATTGGTTTGTTATATTAAGTTGTACAACTTCAGGTTTCGAAAAATTAATATGCCACAAGTTAATTTAATCAGTAATGCCAAACTTTAAGTAAACACATTGGATAACAAGATGCTAAATGTTGCGACAGAAGAGTGAGTTGATTGTGCCTAAGGATAGTTAATGGAAAAGTAATGCATGTAACTGTTGCCAGGAAGCCTGCTTTCAGTCATAAAATCTGCGCAAAGCATTTTATTTCTCAAGTTGGAACCAAAAGAAGAAAGGGGCATTTATATACATAGCACCCAATTCCATGTATTTACGTATCTAAGACCTTTTCTTTTTTTCTTTTTTCTTTTTTTCTTTTTTACATTTATACCACTCAAATCTTTCACATCACATAAAAAAACATGCACCATTTTATTTTTTAAAAAGTGTAATATACCATTTCATGCATAGATAAGGTGGCATGTATGTAAAAAATTGAAGTATAGGAGTTAGAAATGTAAATACATAAGAATTGAGGGCTAGGTAGGTAAATCTTCCATGAAGATATTATAGAAAATCCATGAGATGAAGTAGCTTTTTGAATCAAGTAAGCTAATTCAAGAGACGAACATAGAGAGGACACTTAAATGTATGAATCTCAAAGTAGATAACAATAATAGAATGTCTCAAATTCTCAGATGTTCCAAATCTGAAGTATCTCATGAGTATTATGAGATAAAAAATTATCATAGAAACTGAACGATAAATTTTATAAAGCAACAATGTTTTATTAATTCGAGTGTTGGCAATGAAAAAATTGCTCATATATATGTTGTCAAATGAGAATATTAAAATATATGTATAACAAAATAAGAAAAATAAAATAAGGAATAAGTATAATAAAAAAATCATTGAGTTGACATCAATTGAAAATAAACTCAAATGGTTTGAGCATAAGACAATAAAAGACAAAAATATAGCCATTAGATGAGCAGGCAAGGAGACGAGGTAAATCTATGGTGACACTTGTTCAAAATGATTTACAAAGTGAAGGTTTACACCTTGCAATACTCAAAAAGAACAGATAGAAAATGAAAGTTAAACCATCCAACCCTTAAGAAGTTTGGATAAAGCTAATGATGATGATGACTGATGAGATGTTGATAATGTTGGAAATTTGCCTAGGAAATATCCTAAAAATTAGTGCAAAATTGCATTTTGCAGTGGCTATTGTTTGGTACCTGACAGGCAAAAAATGCAACAAAAAACTGTTGTACGCTAGGGAATGATACAGTTTTAATGTATGGTGAGGCTGTAGTTTTGCTAAAAAAAAATATATCAAAAAGTTTAGTTATTTTCATCAGCTAAAACTATTTTTAGGGGCATTTACAGACATACCTCACAATTCATATGTATTTAGATATGTAACACCTAAACATTCATATTTACATACATACCACTCAAATCCTTAACATCATATAAAAAAATAGCACCATCACTACACTTAATAAGTGAAATACAGCTTTTCATGCATCGAGTTATGACACCAAAGTGCATATAGGTGAAAATATCAAACTTTGGGTGTTAGATATGTAAATTTATAAGAATTGTGTGCCTGTGTGGTATGTATGTAAATTTCATTTAATTTTAATAGCAGAAAGATGTAATCTACACCTTTATCTAATCGGATTGAACCAACAGCACCAATTAAATCAAAGAAGATTTGAGACATCGTCCTATATTTCAAGTAGTACCTTTTTTTAGAGAAAAGAATCTCTAGGTCATTTATTCAACAAGTTTTCGCTTGGTATTTCATTGCAGCTGTGCTTTAGTATGCTGCTTGTAAGCATACTTTAGAACATGGCCCGAAATAAAAACTACTGAATGGTTTAAATCATTCATACATTGGCTTAAGCAACAAATGAATCAATCCAACCTCAAATAAATGGAACAGCATAAAATTATTTAATATCCATATATAAATCCAAAAATGAATAATGGAAAAATACTTGTAAGGGGGGTAATAAATTCTTAAATTGTGAAATAAAAATAGAAAAATTAAAAATATAGATATATTATACAGGCAGGAAATAGTTAAAAAAACTAAATAAAATCCAGAAATATACATATACGAAACATATTGAGAAAAATATTGAAATTCAATATATATAATTACTTCATCATAACCAAGCAATATATATGACCATTTACTATTCTTAAATTTATCTTCATTGATTTATATGATATGCAAATTTAGTGGTTATGATATTAACAGTTATCAATCAACATATTTAGAAATTAAAATGATACATATGTATGATAGTTCTAAATATCATTAATCTATTATATGTAATAGAGGAAATACAAATAAGAATATAACTTACAGTGCTATAAAATTAGGTGATTTAAAATGCATAAATGTCTTAGGAGTTGTGTCAATGAGTACATTATATAGGTTGTGTATTTTAAACTTATCAATATTGAATACTTATTAAATTCAAAAAAACTAAACAAAGTGAGAAAGGCAACTTATGCACTAGTGTTTAGTACGTTATATACTCCCACGTCTAATTGAAAAATGGCAATAGCATGGTGTTAAGCACCACGACGCTGCCATGTCATGGTGAAATTTTCATTTTTTGCATGACATATTTTTATTGTCTTAATTGACCAGACAAGGCTGCCCAATACATTATTAGATTCATAGAAAACAACTCCCCGCGCCCGAAATCACAAAATTATTTGACAAAAAAGCTGATTTTATTCAAAACCAAAGCAGACCCCCAAATCAATCAGTTTCATTGATAAGGCAAGCTATAATTTGAAAAACGCAAGCAGACATAAGCATATGTAGTCTTGTTAGGTTCAGTTTTGTTTAAGAGAGAAACACTGTTTTATTCTCTTTGAATCACTTCTAGTTAACCAATCTTAGAGAGGATTGATTAAAATGGTGGGAATGCCCACTGTTTTATAATTGAAATGAGAGGGCACAAGGGAATATATATATATATATATATAAGAATATTATGCCGGTCGTGTTTTTTTTTTTTTTTTTTTTTTTTTTTTTTTTTTTTTGTGGGCGTAGGGTGTAATAATTAAATTATTTAAAGATGATGTGATTGCTTGGAAATTTTATAATGAATCAAGGCCATGACTAAGAAGCATATATTCTAAAATTGACATCAAAGCGTCATAAACTAACACTTATTCAAGAAAATAGAGAACAAACTTCATGCGGTTATGGAAAGCACAACAAAGAAGAAATGATACACAAATTGAACCAAGGGGATACGAATAATACAGAAAAAAGAAAATAAAAGGGGATTAATGCAAAGTAACCAAGTTAAAAAAAATAGGGTTAACACTGAATGAATGGAAATTGGAGAGGATGAATTGAAAGGCCGGTGAGATAATTACTTGACTACTCAGAGCATCTGACTTTTATCCTTTAGTTTTGTTGCTCATTAATTTTGGTTGGGCCTAAATGGTAAAATAACAATAGAAAGCAAGAGCGCAAACAATGAATGTTGTATAATAGGTTTTTTCACTTTAATGAAATGGTCCTTATATGCCAAAGCGAAATAAGAAACAATTTCGCGATACGAAAATTTAAGGTTTTTGCTTGTGAGATTTACACATCTGCCAACACTTCCATTTTGTTGTGTTGTTAATGTGCACATCACATTAAGCTAATGTCAATACAAAGAACTCAAATTTTTAGTTAATTTCACTACAATGAATTAATGAACAACCAAAGAATTTAGCTAATTTAAGGCCCTCAGCTAGTAATAAGCTAAATTAATGACAGCATCCCCCTTTTTTTCCTCTCTCCATTGACACACGCTCCATATTAGATTTGAATATAAAACAAATTAACTATTTTCTTCAACGAAATTTACAAGTCCAAAATTCAGCCAAACAAACATTTAGTAATAATGACTTTCATGGCATATAAAATCTCAAGAATTAGCATACCAAAAAGTTGAACAACGATATCAGCTAATAATTTGTGCATGTAAACAAATAATGTACAACACAAGCATTAAAAGCTAAAAAAGCAAGCATAAACTGAAAGAATTAGACTGCAGATAATCTAACCAAAATGCTCTATGAAACTGTCACACCTCTAACATTTAACAATTGGGAATTTTACATATATACCACCCAATTCCGATCTAACACCTAAATCTTACTTTTAAATTTATACCACCAAATCTTTCAAATCATATAAAAAACACCACAATTTTAACTTCTAAAAAGTCAAATACACCATCTCATGCATGGATAAGGTGGTATGCAAGCAAAATTTGAAGTTTAGGTATTAGATATGTAAATACATAAGAATTGAGTGGAATGCATGTAAATCTTGCATAACAATTTCACATGATTTTATAGATACAATATACCTTGCTTCTTTGTCAAATCCAAAGCGTGCGCCAAAATAGAATGCAACAGCCAATAACCATGCATCGCTGTGCACTGCAACAAGTGACAGCCAGTCCTTCTCATCCATGCCATCCCTGGCAAAATTTATACCCAAAGCAGGCTCAGGAAGCTCCGGAGGGACTTCCTCAGCAGGTAAATTTACTTCCCAAGTCTCCGTAGGAAACCCATACAGACATAAGTTATCCTTCTCTGACCATAAATAAAAAAAGGGAATAATTTAGGAAAGTAACTTTATCATTCCAATAAATTTTATAAAACGGGCTAGAAAAAAACACAGATGGTTAAGAAAATTATATCACCCCCATTCAAAAATCAAGGGAAAACCTCCCCAATATACGAAGGGTTATAATAAGATACTTATCTCATTCAGAATCCAGTAACAACGAGAAAAAAAGGGTATACAGTGGAGCAAACTCACCAGGATCGCAGAGCTGGTAAAACTTCTCCACCTCTGCAGCACAGGAAAAGATATTATACCATCACCCAAAATTAAACGTACAAAAAGCTCAGAAAGAGAAACAGAGAAATACCAGTAGTGAGAGCCTTGATCATCCCGGCCCTCCTGCCCCTAAAATCCCTAAAAACCTCCTCCGCCGTTCGCGGATTGAAAGCACCCGGCCCACCATCCATTTGCAGCGTCACTCCCTAGAATACCGTCGTCAGCTCGAGAACTGACCAAGCGCTCAATTAGGGTTTCCTTAAGCAGAAGAACAGCAACAGATTCTCCCGTATCTATGCTCCCAATTTCTCCGAGAAGGATGGGAGGAATGAAAGTGTAGCTTGGAGGTTGAGAGAGAGAGAGAGAGAGAGAGAGAGAGTACCCTGCTTTCCTCCTGATTGCGATTCCAGTGCATCGGTTATCGGCGACCAAGTAAAGACCTAATTCGAATCAAATTTGGTCGATCAAAGTCAGTTCTTTAAATGTTTTTTTTATTATTATTTATATATATTTATAGGGGCATTTACATACATAGCACCAAATTTTTATGTATTTACACTTCTACCACTTCAAATCTACTTTATGCATTTTTGCTGCCTACATATTTAAATAACTTTAATATTTACGATATCCTTCAATCCAAACTCTAATATAAGCTCAATTGAACCTTTAAATCTTGTCCTACTATTTGGTTTGGTTTTCAAAACCTTGCTATGAACCTACATTTGAAAAACATGTAACTTTTTAGTGATTTGATGGTAGAAATCATATAATTGAAAAATACTTTATTAAATTATACAAAATGTTAGGATATTTGTTCATCGAGTTATTTCAATGAGGTAAAATAAGGATTTAAAAATGCTTAATATGTTTTTGGCCTTTTATTTTTATGATCGAGCTTTTCTCTTTAAAATTAAAATATTAAAATAATTTTATTTATGTAAAAATAATTTGCTTGGAGTTGGTCATTTTGCATAATGAAGGTGATAGTGCAAGTTCTCCTAAAGAGAAGGTGTGAGAGATTTCTCCACCCATGAGTGGTTAAGGAGTGATAATAACCATGGTTAGTAGAAGCTAGGCATATATGTATAGAGAATAAACTTAACTACTATTTTTAACCAAATTAATTGCTCTCTCTTAAGAATAAATATATTTATATAAACATCATATTGATATCGTGTGGACACATGAGAAGAGAAAATGAGGAAGATCTAAAAGCCCTCGTGGCTTAAGTTGATGAAGAGGAGAAAGAAAAAAAAGAAGGTTGTATCCCTCCACTAATGCATGAAGCCTTTAGTACACTAACAACATTTACCACACAAGCTTTTTAATTGATAAAAGCCATTTTGTTCATTAAAACACTATGCATGGATAATACATAAAGTGCTATAAATATTTGGGAGAACATAACTTTGGTTTATTCTTTTAAATCCTTAGTTTTAGTTGATGGTGACTCCTTAATCATATGTGTACAACAAAAATATGTTAGATTGAATCTCTCAGAGGAATGACCAGCAGCCGTGATGACCCGAAGCCTGAACGACCCGAAGCCTGGATGACCCGAAGCCTGAACGACCCGAAGCCTGGATGACCCGAAGCCTGAACGACCCGAAGCCTGGATGACCCGAAGCCTGAACGACCCGAAGCCTGGATGACCCGAAGCCTGGATGACCCGAAGCCTGGACGACCCGAAGCCTGGTTGACCACTGCTAGAATGATCTGCAACCTGGACGATCCGCAACTTAGAAGACCGACTTGGCCTGGACGACTGACCCAGTTCAATTGACCGAGCTGACCCTGCCGACTCGGAGCCGATTAAGCTTAGCCAGTCGAATTAGAAAGCAACTGGACATTCTAAAAAGGCCAGATTTAGGTTTATTGGTTTTTGGTATAATAAATTTGTTGATCTTTTAAGCTAAGGTTGTATGAAACTGAATTAATACATACTCAAATACATAACCTAATAATTATATCTTAAGTGTTTGAAGTGCACCCTTTTTAATATTGTAGTGTAAGGGTGTGTTTGGGGATGCGGTGCGGTGTCACATCGTAGTTTTTCCTATTTGACATTACTGTATTTTACTTGTGTTCTAGAAAAGCTGTAACTTAAAGCAGTGCTTTCTACCATATCTGGCTACCCGCGTTGGCTGTAAAAAAACAGTGGTTCAACTTTCCTTTTAAAAAATTTTCTTAAATAGTCACCGCAGCTTTTTGAGCAGTAGCTTCTTCTTCAACAGCTTTACCGCAGCTTCTTCAAACAACTACAGCTGCCCCATATAAACTCTAAGTTAGGCCCAATATTGTTTAGGAAAGTCCTACTAGGAGACTTTTTAAGAGTCGAAATTATAAAGATATTGACTTTTCAAAAAAAAAAAAAAAGTAAAAAAACTTCTAATGAATAATTATTTTTCCACCATCAAAGCCAATGTCAAGTTTTTAAGTCATGCCCATTCAACCATCAATAACTTAAGCAATCCTTTTCCTCCTTGTTGATTGAAATGTTCGAAAAAAATTCCAAAAATTTTCTTTTATATAACCTTTTAAAAAATTAACGCCACATTATTAGCACAAATATATCATTTTCTTCATTAAAGATGCCATCTAGATTAATAATTTCTTTCATGTCAACTCAATCACCTTTTTTTTGGGTTTCTTAGAGCCCCCATATTTATCATCATTTGCAAAATCATAATTTAGAATTTCAAATATGACCTCAATAATCTTTTGTGGCTTCCCTTTTGCACCATTAATGAGTACATTGTTAACTTTCATACTAGCTTTATGACCACAAGTTAATCTAAAGCATTATGTTAGATAATTATAAAGAGAAGGCCTAATAAATTGCAATCCATCAGCCCAAAAAAGGAATTTTTGTTTCTAAGTTGTAGTTAGTTGAAAACAGCAAGAAATCATCTATTTTGTTTAAGGAAGATTTACATTAATATCATTCAATTCTTACATATTCACACATCTAGCCCCTAAACTTCAATTTTTTACATATATACCGCCGTTTAATTATTTTTTATGTGACATGAAACCTTTAAATTTCAAACAAATATTTTGATGTGATTTAGATATTAAAATACAAGCATTATTTATTAAAAAAAAAAGAGGAAAATTACAAACATACCAACTATTATTATATACTTACAAACCTAGCACAAACAATATTTAATTATATAACACCCAAATTCTTGACCCACATCAAATATACAGCTAACATTTAACTTATTTCAAGTGAAATATACATTTTACATATATACCAATTGATGTGATTTGGGACATTAGAGTGTTACATAAATAAATATTAATTTTCCAGAACTAATTACAAGGCAACATTATAAACCTGCTCAAATATTAACTATGGTTGTGGGAGTCTTAGAGATCAAAGCTGTGGCTGTTGAAGTGGAAGATAGGATGGTTCCATTTGCCCCTTATGTTCTGAAACCTGCACTCTTTGGCAACGCTGGTCTGAAGACCAGGTGGTCCGCAGACAATAACGCCAACATTAACGTGTCCCACTTGTTCTGCATGTGAGCTGAATATTTCTGTAGAAGAGATTACATTACACGAGCTCGTTAGATGCTAAGATGCACCACATGCAGACACACGGACACTGATATAACATGATACAGATTATAAATATATATAATTTTAAAAATATATATATATATATATATATATATATGCATGATGAAAAAAATGATTTTTAAGAATGAAAAAGCATTAATAATTATTATATTATTCATAAATCAATTTGGATATATGTCGGGTATGTTTACTATGGAAGCCATACAGGAAGCTATACATTTATTGAGAGGTTCGATGGAGAAGTTAAGAGATAACGAAGTACAAAGAGAGTAAGGGGTCTACTTATAATTTTTATTGATTTAGAAAAAAAATTATAGTAAGAATCCAAAAGAAGTCCTTTGGAGAGTTCTTGAGAAGAAAGGTGTTGAGATGATTTATATTCAAGTCATTAAAGATATGTATACTAGAGTTGTTACTAATGTTCGAACTGAACGAAGATTGACCAAATATTTTCCAATTTCTGTTGGATTGCATCAGGGATCGGCTTTAAGCCCATACCTTTTTGCTTTAGTTATGGATGGTCTTACTGGATATTTATAGGAAGATGTACCTTGATGTATGTTTTTTGCTAATGATATCCTTCTCGTGGATAAGAATAGAGAAAAACTTGAATTATAGAGGTTTACATGGGAGTCTAAAGGCCTTCATTTAAAGGCCTTCATTTGAGTAATTAAGTAGAACTAAAACTGAATACATGGACTGTAATTTTAGTAGTAATAACTCTAGTGACAGAAATGTGACTTTGGGTGATCAAATTATTAAAAGGTGTATTTAGATATCTCATCTCGGGTCTGTTGTTCAAAGCGGTGGTGATATAGATGGGGATGTTAATAGTAGAATTCAAGTTGGTTAGTTGAAGTGGAGAAATGTTTTGGGCCTTTTGTGAGATAGAAAAGTGCCACGTAGACTGAAATGAAATTTTATAAGGTGGTGAGACCTGCAATGCTCAATGGCTCTGAATGTTGGCCTTTAAAAGAGAAGCACAATACTAAGTTAAGTAAGTTAAGTGTTGTTGAGAATTAAGTGTTGTTGAGAAGAGAATGATTAGGTGGATGAGTAGCTTTACACTTAGAGACAAAATATATCTTGAATATATCTGTGATAGGGTTGGTGCAGCTCCTGTGACGGACAAAATTAGACAAAGTCGTCTTAGATGGTTTGGCCACATTAAGCATCGACCATTTGATGATCCGATTAGGAGAGTAGATGTTTTA